TACTTAAATTTTTTTTTTAAAAGGAGTCATTGACCATGTTGTGAGTTTAGAGTTTAGGAATTGGCCCAAAATTGCTCACAGAAAGATCCTAACTCTTTCTTGTTCAGGGCTCTTTCTTTGGCAAGCTGCTTCTGGAGTTTATCTTTTTGACAAACTTTGATGCCATTTTGGTTATGAGGCACCCTTTCATTTAGCAATTAAGAGAGAAGTTCTAGAGAGAGAAGCTCTGAGTGATACTATCCTTGTAAGCCTATCTCTTGAGATCTTTTAATAAATTTTTGCTGTTTTAAACTCATTTTTCTCCCTTCTCCCTCTTAGCCGGTTCTGTTCAGACTACCGTCTTCCAGCTTTCTTTCCTTCTCCCTCCACTAGATCTGTGTTAGTTCTACCGCTGTTCTAGTTTCTACGCTTTAAATTTACATTTACATTATGCATCTTTAAATTCTGCACTTCATTTAGTAGTCCTACTACTGCCTACTTTCTTTTCAGTCTATTTATCCTTGATCCACTTTGGGTTATCTGGTATCAGAGTCTATATATATATGATATGCTTAAATAAGACAATTTTATGACAACAAAAATATTATTTTTGTTTAACTAAAAAAAATGTATAGTAAAATATGACAATGCAATGATAGTACAATTATTTGAATGGTTAGATTTGGAAAATAAGTTTTAATGCTATTTGAGAGGGGATAATTAGGTGCATGTGATATTCATGTGGAATAAACATAGTCTCAACGTCACTATTCAAAGTGAAGATTATTTGATTTTATTCAATTTTTTAGCTTAGAGTATCTCTTTCAACTTTTTAACCTTAAATTTCAATCATAACATGCATCAAGATATGAGCACAAGAATGCTTTTGTGCAGAAAAATTAGAAGACAAACACAAACACACTTTATCTTTGACACACACATCAATTGTGGAAGCCTCTTGAGCATTCAGAGAGTGTCTTTTTCTTCTTTTTTCTCTTAGTTCACTTAATTTACCACTTTAATGATGTGCTTGGATATATTTTGATATTATTTTGAGATGTTTGTGATGAAATTCTATGTTCATATGTTGCTGTAATGCAATGTCCAGGTAGTATTGGATTCTCCATGATCTGAAATAGCATGAGTGTGCATGAAAATCTCATTGGCATTGCTGAGCATTTTGGTTGATTGAAAAAAATTTGTTCATTACATAATGATTGTGCTGGTAGTGAATTTTGGAATTGTATAAATTCTTATCACAAATAAAAAGCAGTTAGGATTTGGGCCTAAACACTAAAAGTTTCATTCCTTGTGTGCTTAGCCCTCCATTAAGGTTTTACTCTAGAACTTGATATGTTTCTTGATTGAGATTGCATTTCATATGTTTGCACAAGCATGATTGAGGCATTTCCTTGTTTTAAGCTACTTGACCACACTGACCCACCTTATATTAAAATCATTTGCTAGCCCTCTTGAGGCTCTTACCCTTTGTTTCTTTTTAAACCCAATACAAGCCTTAAGTGAAAAACCCATATGCCCCTTATCATTGTGGATTGGAGGATATAGGTAATATCGTAAGATGAGTTTTTGAATTAACTTTGGATTTGTATATTCATTTCTTTTGCAAACAACCAAATCTCTTTTGTTTGGGGTGGGGTATCAAGAATACTTTGGGGATATGAAGAATACTTGCCAAAAGAAGAGAGAGAAAAGAAAGAAAGGAAAAAAGATAGAAAGAAAAAGAGAAGAAAGAAAGAAAAAAAAGAAAGAAAAAAAAGAAAAAGAAAAAAATGTTGAAAGAAAAGGAAAATACAGAAAATAGTCTACCAAAGTGCAATGCAAAGAAAAAAAAATAATAGAAGAAATTTATAGGATGCAAATTGAGTGAATCCTTGAATGTACCCAGTCTTTTTATTCCAGAACTCAAATCTGATCCTGTATCCTCTAATCTTCTTTGATTTAGCCACATTCATTCATATTATCCACCTTGACTTCAACCCCATTACAAAAGTCCTCATGATATGTGTTTGCATGTGCATAGGCAGTGGAAATCTTAGAATATTATCAAGCCTATGGCCGTAGATCTTAATGCGAGTTGGCAATTGAGAGTAAACATTGTCCTTATACACTTAAGAGTGAGAGTGAAACACTAAAGTTGGAAAGGAATGTGATTTGAGTTTATATTTTTCCATTTGAAGATAATGCACATTTCATTTTTGTAAGTGAATAAAGTTGGATTCAAGAAATCATGTGTAAGGTGTTGTCAATGTATGATTTGTATGACACTTGTTTGAAGTTATGGATCTAATACTAGCTGGTCTATTGTGAAAGAAGAAAACATGGAATTTCATTGCAAATGCAACCCGTATGTTATTTAATGATACAATCTTGTTTTATGTTTATGAGCTTTGTTACTAAAAGGTTGTCTCTTTTCTACTTTTAATATTACGAAGATCAAAAGCTAATACCATATTCTATTAATGAATGGACATTCTTGTATCATAGATAATATAATTTGTCTGACAATTAATGTCATATTTTTATTAACTTTTTAGGGGTTTCTGTTCCTAACTACTTTCATTTTCTTTTTTGATTGTTCAGTTTTTAATTTCTTCAGCAGCAGATGTTTTGATGGAATTTTTAAAATAGCAGAAATAAGTTTGTGCTAATGTTGTTGGACATCCTTTAATTTGCAGCTGAAATTGCTGTTAAACCAAAATCAAAGCCTCAGTAAGTCATTGACATTGAAATGATACAACAAAATTGAATTTTACAAACAATTATTTAGTAGCCATGACACAATAGCCAGGAACTGCTCTAATTATCCAAAAACCTTAGTGACTATTAAACTTTAGCTGATAATGTATCATTTTAGTATGGACATTGATTTTGTGACTGAGTTATTTTGCATATCTTTTCGTGGCTGATAGTAGAAAACAATAAGTTAAATGTGACTTTTTGTTCTTAGTTTAAGTCATGATGAATTGTAGTTATGTAGCCATAATGTATTTTTCTAAAAAAATTTCTTGTTAGGTAGCTTCATTATGGCTGATAATTTTTATGTATGATAGATGAACACTGACTGATACATGTAGGACTTAGATGATTCCTTGGTGCTCTACAATGGAATCTTTGTTCACCAATATCTAAGGTTTGTCCACCACCAGATTTGGTAGGTATGCACAATTTTGATACCACCTTCAATGTGTGCTTTTGATTATAGATCTATTGTGTTTAGTGGACTTATTGTGTATTTTACTATTTATCATAAATCTGAATATTTTTTCCATTGTTTTGAAGCATTTGAGATTTTGAACTCATTTTCCCTTCTTGGATATTATTTGTATATATTTACTATTATAGATCTGTCTATAAGTAAATTATGATTCCAAGGAGAAAAAAGATTTCAAAGAACTCCCTTGTAAATACTAAGGGTGATCGGCATCATTTATAGTCTTGTAATTTCTACAGAAAACTTCACAGCCTAAGAAGTTATATTTGAGTCATCAGAAAACTCGTTTGCTTAATCACTTGGTTTTAGTGTTATATTTGTATTTTTTTTTTCATATGAATCAATAGATGTCATTAGATCTATGTTTTGGATTATTAACTGCACAATTCTTGTTCTTGAAACTCTTTTAATCAGTTTGGGCTTAGGGTTTAGACTTATGATGTGATGTGTTTTGCTGTTTAGAATACACCTGAACATTTATGCCATTTTTTGTATAAATAAATTATGATTGTGTATAATGATATAGAAATTTAAAATTGCATCAACTCTAAACAAGATTCCAATGATATGTGTGAAGATTTGTGGTGTAAGCATGTGGCTTTCAAGGGAAACATCACAGACTTAGAAGTTGAATTTTCACATCAGAAAGTGAGTAGAAATATTAATTTGTTTTTAATTTAATCTATGTTCTATAGCCACGTGTTTTTCTTCTATCTTGACTGGTAGCTTTGTATTTGCGGATAATTTTCATGTATAATAGATGAATTTGTTGATATAGGTAAGACTAACATGATCCACTTGGTGCTCATAAATTTTGTGTCACTAGATTTAGTGTATGAAGTAAAGCTACCCTCATGTAACATGTAACATTATTCACATTTGATGCATGCAAATATAGCCAATGTCATCTGTCTATAACATAGAGATACAGAACGAAATATGTCTAAACTCATGTACTTATTTTATTAATTACTGGTACTATTTAGTTAAATATACAAGTTAATTCTATGCTATTTCACATATTTATATTTGCATTTTGCTTGGATATATTCACATTTTATTCTAAAATTTCGATGATGAATGAGAGATGTATGATGAAACAGGTCAAAACTGATTTAGTGCTTTCTAGTTTTATTTTATTTCAATTTGGACAAATTTTTTAATTGCTTGATTTGACATTTGTAATGAACATTCTTAGTTAATTATTGGTACTGTTCAGTTAAGTATATTAACTCATCCTATGTTTATTTGTTGAATTGTATGTTTTTGTGCAAAAAAGTCAGCAGACAAACATCGGATAATTTTTTGAATTGGTATATTACAATTGATAATTTTGAGCATTCTTAACTAATATTGTTATAATGTATAAAAAAAATTTCTATAAAAATTAAAATATAATATAAATATACTATATTAAAGTAGGAGAAAGAATATAATGTATTATAACAACATAAATTAATTTAAAAATATTTTTATATTAAAATTGATATACATAATTTTTTATTTAGAAAAATTAAATTATAAAAAAAGTGACATTTTATATCTTTTATATGTAAAATAATTATATTGTTAATATTATATTAAATATATATGATAAATAATAAAATTTATTAGTTTATTTTAAAAATATATAAACATTTATTAATATAAAAATATTAGAACAATGATATAAGAAGGCTGCAAGATTTCTTCATATCATAAGTACCATCACAAACATTAGATATTAAAAGTTTATTTATCTTTTATTATATTTATTTCCTTCCTTTTTCATTTTTGGTTTCATCTAGAAATCCAAACATAGCGTTTGTTTTTACATCACGGTGAAGAACGTCAGTGAGGAAAATTCCCTGAAAGGACGACATGTTCATATCGAGTTGCCTGAGTTTCGGAGCTGACAAATAAACGACAGCATTGTCTCCATGCCGTTCCGTTCGTCACTTCGCATGTTTTCCACTCTTCCTACTAGTGCCCACTGCTAGATGCAGATTTTCAGCTTTTCACTAACGTCGTGTTGTATCGAGTTCCTCAAATCTGAAGCAACGCCCGCTCCCAAAAAATGCGTCTTTCAGCAGCGTCAACCATTTTATGCCTAGGTGGCCCATTCGTTTTCTCCGTCTCTGTCTCATCGTTGGTTTCAGTCACCAAAACGGTTGATTATTAAACCGCAGTGATGGTCGTTTTCTTCTTGGTGTATTTCAGGTGTGCTTTTGCAGACACCATGGATCGCTTCAATTCCGATGCCGAGTTCCAATTGCTACGCCTTCAACAATTCAAGTCGGATTGTTGATTTCGTATCCTGCAATCCTACACGCTCCTTGGGCATTGCATTTTAATAATAATATTAAAAATAATAATTGTAAATGGGTAATTCATGGGTTTAGGTTTTAGTATAATAATAGGGATTGTTAACACTTAACAGTTATTAATTGATGGTATGATTCATTTTTTTTACGAAGCTTGTTTTTACTTAACCGGTTAATTAGAGTAGCTGGATTGGTTACCTTTTTGAGTATGATGTGAAGGTAATGCTCTCAAACAGTTATTATGTTATATATGGAATGATTTTGTTCATGTGTTCAATTTTAGGCCTAGATATGCTGCTAAATTATTCAATTTGAGCTGATGCAGCAAGGTTCTGACTTGGCCGTACGATTCTGCAAAGATGTGGAGAGTAGATCACAAACGGTAATTCATGTCACCATGCTTTCTAGAACTTTATTCACTATATACTCTAATTCTTTCCCTTCGGCTTTTTGGCTTGTGGTAGAGTAGTTTTTGTGTTATCTGATGAAGAGCATGCTCATTGTTTGCTTTTGTTTTATCCGCTTGGTATATTCTACTTCAAGCACTTGAGGCATCGTCTTGTAAATTGTAAACCGCATTTAACTTGGCCTGGAATAATATAAATCTTATAAAGATTGCTACAGATATGCCACATGATTGACTTACAAGTTGCTTATATGTTCAACTGATAGGCCTCTGTGTTCAACGTATTTATCATTTCTTCTCTTATCAAACTGAGGGTAGAATATACCAATTTTCGTTATTTCTGTGTGTTTCTAGTCTTAGATTTTTGAGGGAGAATTTTTTACAGATTGCAGAGGGATAAGGACACTTTTGAGCTGATGTATATTTGTTTCCATTTCTTTCTCCTCTACCCCCTCCTCTTTTAAGTGGTTTTAGGAAGATTATACAATCTTTACACATCTTTTAGGAAGTTCCTTTAGGCTTTCTTTGGGAGTTTGGAGGGGGAAAAAGAAAGAGTTTGAGAGGTAAGGAAGAGAAGGGAAGGGAGAGAGAGAAGGAGAATTAAATGAAAAAAATCCCAATTTGGAGGAACTTAAAAACATGGGTTTATGGAAGGTTTTGGAGGCTTTATAAACACTATCCCTCACATTTAAAAACTCTTAAATAAGGGTTACTATCAAATAAACCTTCTCCCCTCCCTTTTCCTCCTAAATTTTACTCTCAAACAATGCCTCAAGTGTTTCAAGTTTTAACAATACTGTGATTTTATAATGACTTTCAAACACTTAAAAGTAGGTTAAGCTACAGTAACTGTGGATCTTATATCTGATGTAGATTGACCTAAATTTGAATTTCAATCCAGTCATAGATGCATGTCTGTGTGGTGAATAGTTATTCCCGTGTACTTGTTTCTTATTTTTTCACAAACTTTATCTGATAAGGCATGCCTATTTTCTTTGATATAATATCTTCTTCACTTCATTAGCTGATGCCCAAAACAACTATCTAGGGATATGTTGATTTTGGCCGATTTGATAGGTTCAACTACTTCATTGCTGGTTCTGGCCAATCTGACTTTACTCAAGTAAGTTCCTTCTGACTAATTCTATATTTTGGGTCAACGAAATAAATACCTTGAGTAAGGACACTTCTTATACATCAATTCCTCTTGGAGTTTGTTAAAAGAGGAGAAAAACAAGTGACATGTGGTGAAGTCTGTGTGGTGAATTGCCATAAATACAAAGATTGTCGTTGCCCTAGTTACTATAAATACATGATATTTAGAGCTAAGTTACCCTATTTACATTCTTCCCAACAGAAGGAAATTATTATAATTTATATTTTTTTCTTCCACTGTTTTCTATTTGAGCTTTTGCTAGTAAGAATACCTAGAGGTGTCAAACACATCTCTGCCCGATGTTAAATTTGTGGAAATAATAATAAAATGTTGAGCGAAGAAATGGTACAAGGAGCACACTGACTATAATTTTAGTCACATAAGTGTATTTTCATTTTAAGAATAAGTTTTAAAACTGCAAAAATAATTAATATTCAAAGAAGGGACCTTAAAAAATGTTGTAATCTCCTTTGTGACCAGTGTGAAGCTAAAAGGGCCTCGAGGAGAGAGTAACTGACTAACTGGTACTACCTGTATGTAAGTGCATTGGTAGAGAGTCTCATGACACTTAGACTAATACATTGAGTATCAACTTGACATTTTACGTTTTGCTCCTGTTTCTCATCCTTTCTCTCCTTTAAAATCTTCCTTGCTTTCTAAGCCATTTTCACAATGTGTAGGAGTTTTATAATGGTGACCTGATGGGTTGTGAACAAAGCTATGACAAAATGGGACGAACAGCCCAGGTTGGTGTGACTTGGTGCTACTCTGAAACTTTTGTGTTTTCTTTTTTGTTTAAATCAACTAGACCCAAGACCTCAGAACATGGATGGAATTACTATTAATAAATGCGGTATGACTTAGCACAAGCTCCTGGGTAGGAGCTGTGTGACTGTGATGGAATCTAGGGCAGTTAACTGTCAACCATACAGAAATGATTGATGCCCACCAGGCTAAGATTTTTTGGTTTAATACATAATTTTTTGGTTGTAAGAAGTCTAGGCTTCTTTAATGTTTGTGTTATTATGTGGTGCATGCACCTTTCTCATTTTACATTCATCTCTTCCAGGTAGATATCAGATGTGGGAATTGTTTAAATGGACAATGTAAAGGTATAACCATTTACCTTTTGAGATATTGGGCTACTTGAAATATGCACAATGTCCCAACCCTGATTTATTTCCACTCTCAATTCCTTTTCTTTTGTGGACTATCACTATGGGTTGTTTAGAAGCACAATTTATTGAAATGTGTACGATAAAAAAATTCTGAAAATAGAAAAGCACAAATTTGAGGTGGGTAATAATAAATTATTGAGTGATGTATGCAAAGCAGAATTTCTCCTTGGTGTTGAATGTTGATCATAAAACTGTGTCATATTGAAATGGGTTTAACTATTTTATATCCTGTTTCAAGTAGACATCACTTTTTTTTTTCTTTTTTCTACTTGTAGGTCTTCCTGGATGCATATGTAATGTCACATATGAGTCAAACTGCAGGTCTTTGATACTTTTACCCTGTTCTCAGCTGTCAATTTTTATTGTAAATGAAAATGTCAAAACCCTCCATTTTTGTTATCAATTTAGCATTTTGAAATGTTAATTTTGGGAGTCAAAACAGAGTGTGTTCTTTACTTTAAGTTGGAACTTTGGAGGCAATAATATTGTAAATTTGAAGATCCTTTTGTCACCCCTTCCCAATTTAATTTACATTTTCGTTTAAATGAGAAAATAATTGTCAATCCCATATAGCAGCATGGAGCAGCCAACCCAAAAATGCTGTAATGGCATAGTGTATAATGGGATGACTGCTATTTTGAAGTTCTAAGTATACTTAATATAAAATTAATATCCAAAACAGAGCAGGAAAATAAATACAGAGAAAGAAATAAAAAACTGAAAATTGATCACTAGAAAATGTGCAAGTTCATCGGATGTTTTGTCATCTGAGTCACGTTAGGAGCTTTGCCAGATATGAAGGACACTGGAAACAAGAGAATGTTGCAGAGAACGAAGATGGAGAAGAACGAACCAGAGAAAAGAGAACTGAGAGATAAGAATGAAAACTTAGGGCTCACGAGGAAAAGGAAGATATTAGAAATATAAATGGGGGCCGAAATCCCAAGATTACCTCTATTTAAAGTCGCCCAACGATAAGAAAGGGAGGGCAAAGTTGAATGAAATAGAAGCCGCTATGACTGCGATTCTCCCATGATTTGGTTGCTAATCGCAGCACAATGGCCACTCCACTGAAACACAATGCTACAAACTCCTCATAGCGGCAACCTGCTGCTCCGCTCCTAGGCAATAGTAGCCACTATTGACTACTATGAATGAGAAATTAACCCACTTGGTTTTAGTGTTTTTTAATTGATCCTTGTTAGAATTGGTCCTTCCTATATAAGATATTGGTCCCTATTTTTTTCTTCAATTAAATGTTAGCCCTATAATTATAATTCATTAAGGTGTTGACCCTTATTTTCCATGAAGGATTGATTCCTATAATTTTCACTTATTAAGATATTGATCCTTTAGATTTCCTCTTTTTTTTATCTTTAGTAAGTTAAGCAAAAAAACAAGATAAGGATCATGCATTGGAAGTTAAATTCGAGATGATATTACTACAAATTGTCAAATTCAGGTACTTAGGATAAATTATATAGAATGATAGAAAAATTAATGAAAATGTTAATCATAGAATACAAGTTGAGTGATTAAAGTGGAAAAAGACATCAGAAGTTATTTATGGTGGTAAAATATCCAGTTAAAAGGAAAGTTTTACCATTCTGATATACAATCAACTATCATATATAGTAGTGAATGTTAAGCCTTAAATAAACAATACAAGAAAAAAGTAAAAGTGATAGAAATGAGAATGTTAAGTTGGATTAGTGGTTGCATAAGAAAAGACATAATAAGAAATGATAATATATAGGAGAATATTAGGGTAGCACCTAAAGTGAAAAAAATGATTGAAAATCGTTAAAGTGGTTTGATCACATGCAAATAAGACCTTTGGAGAGACACTTGTGTAGAGGGTGGATTGTATAACTTCAGTCCAGTAAAAAGGGGTTAAGAGAGACCCAAAAGAACCTTAGAGAAAATTGTTAAAAGAAACATTTTGATTAACTAAATTTTTGTAAATTTGATTTTTGACTAATTTCAATGGCATTGTGTGATCCATGTAGCCAACTTTATAGTAGGATAAAATTTGGTTGTTCAAAATTTCTAGTGGGTTCTTGTTCTTTTTCTTGAACAATTGTTGTTTTTGAAGTTTTTGTTTCTTCTCTCCAAGCTGTTGGTTCTTTGCTTTCCAAACTTTCAACTTTTTTGCTTTCTTGCACCAAAGAACCCTCATCTATATTAAAAGCTCATTTTTGTGAGTTTTTTTTGCCCTGAACTCCTCTTTGGTGACAGACTAGAAGCCTTCTTCCCTCTCTTTCAACTTAATTCTCTCTCATGTCTTCTTGTGTTCTTTGTTCACAAGTTTCCATTTTGTCATATTCTTTTACTTAATTTCTCTTCTCCCCCATTGATACACTCATGTGACTCCATCTGAGATTCTCTCTTTTCCAACATTTTGAACCTACTCTAATCATCTCTCCTGATTGTTCTGTATTCTCTACTTTGAATAACATGTCTTTGTTCTGAACTTCCCAACTTTGTTTCTGTTTGTAGTTATTTTTAACATAGATATTTTTAAATATTATTTTATATTTAAAGTAGAATCTTACAATTCATGCTACAGTCCCATGAATTCATGATTTACATGTTTTATTCCCCTTTTTGATCTAGGTAGGAATAGTATACTGATGTTAGAAAACCTTGATCAAAGCTTATCCAGCCCTTATTTTAGGCTACTAGCAAATGTCTACTCTTGCAAACTTCACATGTCAAATGTCGAGTGCTAGGCATGAGGAGGAGATGTCCCACAGTGGCCTAGAATATGGTCATAGTATTCCTTGTAAGACTTGAGCAAACCTCTCCCTTGAGTTAGCTTTTGGGGTTAAGCCTAGGTTTAGTAACGTTAGTCATCACTTAGTCATAATTGACTCATTGAGATGGTTATTAGGAATCATTATTTATAATTATTCTTTGTAATTACTCTTGATTTGTATTGCGACTATATATATAAAGACCAAATTATAATGGATTCAAACAGATTACAACAACAACAAAGCCTTATCTCACTAGGCTACTTGGATCACATAATGCCATTAAATTCAGTCATAAATCAAATTTTCAGAAATTTGCTTAATTAGAAGGTCTTTTTAGTAACTTTGTCTAAGGTCTCCCTCGATTCCTCTTTATCAGACTAAGAGTCATGCAATTCACTTTCTTTATTGGTGCCTTCAAAGGTTTTCTTTGTACATGACTGGACACCCTTAGACGATTTTTTGTCATTTTGTTTTACTAAAGATGCTACTCTAATATTCTCTCATGTACTATCATAATTGATGGGTAAAAAATAAATCATTGATCCATAAACAATGTGTTAAAATATTCAATCCATTCATAACCTATTTAATAGAAATTTATCCAACTCATTTGTCAATAATTTTTTATGGATGGATATCCAACAATTCCATCCCATCCATTTAATTTTTTTATAAAATATTTTTATAATAATTTTAATATTTAACACTATACAGTCTAGGATCAATTCTTTAAAGACTTTTCTCCAACTAATAGACTTCGGATTACTTAACCTACTGGATTACAAAATACTATCAATGGTTCATTATTCATCGAATAACAAATGATGATCCAACCCAACTCATTCATTTGTTTTTATTTTTTCAATTGGATAAGTTGGTTGGATATATGCATGGATGTTTAATGGATAAATGGATTAAATTGCCACCCCTACCAGATTGCTAGTGTGTAATTAATAGAGTTTATTTCAGTTCTTTGAATATGAAAATGGAGAGAACATATGGTGTGCATAGAAATATTTTCATTCAACCATTTGCTTCAGAACAGATTTAAATCTGTTGAGGATTTTATGGTGCTTGTTTCTTAAAGTATTGCTATGCCCATTGTCTTCTTGTTTTCACAAATGGTGTATTTCATTACTGTTCTTGATTTACCATGTTTGCAGTTAGAGTATGATATGGATTGTAAAATTTACATCAATCTTGATTTCTCTCAGAGTTTTAGTTGAGCTTGCAATTCAGTGTAATGAACCAGGCCCTCGAGTATTTCAAGGCTTTACTGTTGGTTTTCATCCAAGATCATGGGAACTTGTGAGCAGCTTCTATCACTTGCACTTATGTGTGTTTATTTGTTTGCTTTAAGAGACTATACGTAACTCCTGGAATGATATTAGAGGAAACCCCAATTCAGTTCTGACTAGATTATTGGAACATCAATTTACTTCTCATAATTTCATTGACATCAAATTGGTCTTCAAAGGAAAAATTTTGGTCATTGAGGTAGCATTTGGTAGATAAGTTGGAATGGAACAGAACATAACATATGGGTTCTATTCCATGTTTATTGTATTTTGAAAATAGAACAGGTTACAAGTAACAACACAAAACCTAGGAATTAAAGAGCAGGAGCAGAACTCTGATTCCATTGAAAAGGGTGGAACGAAGAAGAATAGAACAAACCCTTTCTGTTATCCATTTTTTATTGACAAAATTACCATCAAGCATTCCATATCTCTCTCAGTTGCACACTGGTTCCTTTCTCCATTGCAGTCTGGCATGTTGCCCTTCTGTCTTCATTGCATTCTCCAGTCTGGTTGCATTATTTTCCAATTTCTTGTTCAGTATTTCAGGTTATTCATTTAATTGCTTTTCTGATATTTTATCTTGTGATGATCAGTAAATCATTCAATCTTGAAGTTAACCAAACACATATAGAACATCATTGTCATGTTCTATTCTGTGTTGTTTACATGCCAAATGCTACCTGAATAAGTTCAATTTGTTCCCAGTAAACGGTAACCTTTAGACTGTTTTGATGTCTAATATTTTTCAAGGACCAAATTGATGTAATGTCCTTTTGAGGACCAAATTTATTTTCTGAAATTCTTTCAAGGACCAACCAAAATGTGGGTTTATTCAATTGAATTATAATGCTAAATTTATTCGTGTTGTGGAATTGTAGGTTTATAATGGCATGACTCAATTTGGTTTTGAGAAACCCCAACTTGATTTTAGGTCAGGATTGATGCTGTTGTCACGTCTTGCAGTTGATCATTGACATTTTATTCTTCTGTTTTCAGTTGTAGTATTTCACTTATCCAAGATTTCCTTCAATTGTTACAAATAATGTGTTATATATGCTTTTTACAGCTTTGAAACAGGGCAAACTCAGTTAGTCCTGTTTATGACTGCAGTTGCCTCACTTTCTTCCCTGGTTCAAAAACCTATTTTGAAGGTACTTTTCTCATTGATTTAGTCTCTGGGGAACTGTTTTTGGCTTTCCTCAGGACATGACCATTGTTGACTGCTGCTAATTAGGTTCTTCCAGATAAGGGCTTAGATGTTAGAGTGTCTGGATCTGCTGCTGAAGGGAAGCCTCCTACAACATTGTCACCTACAATGTTGATTGTTGATTGGAGATGTACGGTACCACTTATCATAGAAGCAAAAGTTTCCTACTGAGTTTTCCTTGTTAAACTTTTAACGTTTCAACACTTTTCCAGGTGAGATAGCCCACCATACCCCATATGAAGTTAATATCACAATCCCAATTGAGGGTTATGAGCCAATTCAATTTGTGCTTACAAAAATGTGTGGTGAGATACTAACACACCCAGAAAATATAAATTCTACTACTATTCCTCTTGCCCTTTATATGTATTTATTTAATAGGAAGACTGAACAAGTGTCGGGATTGTGCTAATGGTGTTACCATTTTCTTTTTCTTTTAACTATCTGATAAGGCATCAAACAACCACCCACAGAGACCAATTGTTTGGACTGTGGAGGGTTTATTCTAGGAAGTATAGAACTTAGTTTTAATTATTACTACAGTTTTAATAACTGCCATGATAGGAAATATCTGTCATGTTTTAATAACTGCCATGTGACAGTTTCTGCAGGAAATAATTTTGTATTTTCGTAGGTATTTGTGTGGGGAAAATGTGGGACAGTTATGTGTTTGGTAGTTTTCTGGACAGAGATAGTCTCTTTAGGAGTTTCTGAACTTTGAGACAGCAAGGAATTGCTATAATTTTTTTAATCTGGTGTGATTTTATCCTATTTTTATTTCTTAAAATCATTATTCTATCATTTCTTCCATTACAGTTGAATGAAGGGATAGCTCTGTTTATTCATTTTTGCAGACTATATACAGAATCAAAGGGGAGGTAGCACAAGAGGATGGGCAATATTTGGAGTGCTATCTTGCATGTATAGAAACTTTCTCTTATATTTAATTCAGGATTTTATTATGCCAAGTAAAGGTTAAAACCTAGCATTAGGAGCTGAGCTGAAATACTATGTTCATAAAACTTCAATGAATTCTCGTTGTCTTGTTATATACACATGTCAGTGTTTCCATATTCTTTCCTATGCATATTCAATTTATGGGAAAATGTTATTGGGCAGATTCTTTGTCGCTTCAACGCTCTTTTGTTGTGGAGGTTTCATTTACAAGACAAAAGTGGAACGGCAGGTCAGATTTTTCTTTAACTTGCGAGTTGCAAGCATAAGATGCAAATATCTGTTCTGTCATTGCTTATAGCACATAGATCTTATATTTCCACTGTGTAAACCTTTTGCAGCGTGGAATTGACGCATTGCCTGGCATGACAATCCTATCTGCATGTTTAGAGACTGTAAGTTCCGAACTCCTTACTAATGTTTATTGTTTCAATGGAACTGTTGACTAATAATGGTTTAATTTTGAACTTCATGATATATTAGGTCTATGTTAATAGTCCACAAATTAGTCTTATTAGGTCTTTGTTTGATTAAACTAAATATTGGACGTCCCCTGCTAAACTTTGATACCATGGATTTAAGAAATTTCAAGCATATGCTAAGTATTAGAAAATTGGATGGGAGTAAAAACTTTTGTAGAGAAATAAGAATAGAGTGAATATTGGCTTAGATTCTTAAATTAGTTTTAATTTTTATATTTATTGCCCTAAATATTTTATTGGTCTAATTGGGAAGACATTTGAATTTTGAATAAAAAGCAAAGTTTTTGCAGCTTTATGGACAAAATGTGAATAAAAATAAGAAGAATGCTAACAAGTGACCTTTGGATACTACTTAAGGAATAAAAAATGGAAAGTTTTCATGGAAAATTGTTACCAACAATACCCCACACTGTGATTTTGAATGCAGCCCTACTGTAATTTTCAATAAAAAAATTTTATTTATTGATTTCTTAACTAGTGTCCTTAGAACATTGTTAGCAGGAACTAAAAGTAACACCTCCCATGTTCTCTTCATTAAAGGCAGAGTTATGTTTAAGCTGAAATTAAGAAGTGGGATTGTTTATTTTGAAAAAATTTAAATATGTAGAAGGTGCAGTCGGCATTAGATATAATAGTAGTAATGCTAAAAACACAAGCTTTGACACATCATTCCCAACAGATTATATTATTGGGTGAAGTGTCTAGCTAATAATAGCCTAGGAAAATAACGAACAAGTTGTGACCCGTTTTTTAGTATTACCCATCGAATTCGCTAAATAATAGTGTTACTAGCATCACTGCTTATAATTTTAGATGCATCATGGGTTTGTTCCTAAATTTTGTAGTGTTTTTTTTTTTTTTTTCAAAATAGTTAAAAGAAATGAAATGTCATGGGACTTTGCATGTCAAAATAAATTGAATAGTGATTTGTGAGTTCGTTTAGTAGGGCTGTCTACTTCCTCATTTGCATATCTAAGATTTGTTGAATGTGTCATGAAAATAGGTTAGTGGAGCTGGGCAAGGCTACTCACGGCCAGAAGATATCAACAGAGCCGTTGCCAGCGAAACCTCTTGGGAACGCCCTCCTGCTCCCGCTCAAGGTGCATGGAGACCACCAGAAAGAAAATATGGCTCCATGTAATGTGTACCGCCACTCACTTTTTTCCCTTTGTTTACTGACAGTCTGCCACCATTTTATCTAATTTTTTATATTTTCTTCTGCCAAATATGTTTTCTTGGACCAACTCTTATTAGGGGGATTTTGTAGCCTCAGTCTGATGTATTTCTTTGTAAACATAAATTCACATCTAGAAGTAAAGAAAGGGTAGTTATAGCATGAATCAAGTTGCTGCGTTGCATTCGATGGATGTTGTTGAAATTGAGTTTTAATAGAGTTCAGTCCTGTTGTTTCATCCATTTAACTTATTACATTATATAAAACTTTTTGTACGTGTTTGATTCAATTGTTTTTAAAATTTTCATTTTCCTTTATTAATTTCTTGAAATAGTTTTTTTCTTTTAAAAAAAAATCTCCAATAACAATCCAAGCTAAACATGCACTTAATGAGATAATGCTTGATCGTGTTTGATGCTTTTAAGTTAGTTGCAATTATGATACTGTTGGAAACAAAATTGACTGCGGTGTAATGGATAGTATCAGTGGGAGACCTTATTTTATTTGTTTTCTTGGCTACGACGAGAAAAAGCACTTTTGGATTTAGGAAAAACAATTCTTATCAAACGTGATTGTAAGACTTCGAAAGATTGATTAGTCGGTGTCGTGTAGGTTCAGTATCGAGCATGCGCTCCGATAGCTTATGATATGCATTTATGGTCTCCAAATCCTACTGTTATTTCTTTTGCAATGATTTTATCAAGTGTATTGTGCACCCTTTAAACACATCATATAAAAAAAAGTGCGATTCATATCCAACCAACTTTTTAAGTTGAATAACTACTCTTATCACACTGTAGCTTAATTTAGAGCCGGGAAAGTGATTTTGAACTCATGAGGCAACTATATATATATATATATATATATATATATATATAATAGATTTGACCTACTTAATCTATGATTAGGTTGAGCTAAAATTGAGTTGAGTCGGGTTGTCCAGTAAGTTTAAAATTTTTCTATTTCTTTTTTGGTTATTTTCATAATGTCATACACCAAGTAACGATGTTCGTCTATTCATTGAGTCCCAAAAGTTATAAAACCCTAGCCAAAGTAGGACTTTGCCTCTCACCCTAACTTTGCTCGTCCTTGATTAGTCCCTTATCACCTTGTCAATGAGCTAGTGAGCAGTGTTAATTTATGCATGTTTTTCAATTATATTTAACGCCTAAAAACTCAATTTTAAATCAAACAAGCACGTGAGCATTTGTCCAACAAGCTGTGTACATCCAATGTTCTTTCAACAATCTGTCTCACTGGTTTTGTGCTTTTTTCTCATTTATGCTTTGTGTGATGGATAATTGATATTGGAGTCTTTATCAATGTAGCAAAGCATAAGGGAAGAAACAACCACGACGAGAACAATAGCATGCAACACAACTATAATTTCTCTTTTACTCTTTGTTTCATCTTATCAATTCATTTGCGGTTTATGGTTAATATTAATCATTCTAGTTTTGGTTAGTGGTTTTTAGTTGTTTGTAATGGTTAATTTATTAAATTTATAGGATATATACGAAATAATTTTTTCCCAGTCAAAATAAAGGATAGATTGGAAGGGAAAAACAACCTACGTTAAATATTTTAAATCGCATTTTGTATTTTGTTTTTCACTTATTGAGTTGTTTTTATCTTTTCAGATAAGTTGAGTTAATAATTTCTTAAATGATTAAAAAGGTGAGCCAGATTGGCATTTGTTAATAACTCAAACTTGGATCGTTTTAAGAGCTCAAGCATAAGTTATCATGTAGTAAAAAAAGATTAAAATGAGCCTGAATGGACACCTTTTGAACGTTTTAGCACCACATATATTATAATCTAAAGGCTATTATTTTCTTAAGTAGTCATAGAATACACTGTATAGGGCAAATTTTAAGTATAAAGTAAGTAAAGCTAAGCATATAATGCTAAACCAAAAGAAGACAACTCCAGTTGAAGATTAGACTAGTATTCGGAAAAAATAGAGTTGGTATCCAACCATACCTATTCCTTCAGCACATAGCATAACAAAATTATCTAATATTCCCTTACCAATTTTGTTTAACATTCGTATACAGATACATCAAAACAAATACAAAATAATTGATCTATTGTTGAAGGTGTTGAAGTCAAAAAGCATTCCCATTAAATTGAGAGGTCGAGCAGGGCAGCTGCCAACTACATCTTTATAGTGTGGGGGTGTCAAAAACTCAAAAAGGTAACAAAAACATAATTTTAAATCCTCTAACATATTTTTCCTACAAATTCTCTTAATAATTAAATAAAAAAAGTAATTTTTTTAATATTTTTAAAGATAAGTAATACATATGCTTTTAATTTAATAGTAGGAAAGTTATTGAGAGGATATTTAAAAAGATATAACAAAAGTTCATAAAAAAAATTACTTTGGGGGAATATTGAACATTAATCCCCGGAATAAGTTTAGCTGGCTTGTGTATCCTTCGTCCATGGCAAAATTATTTTGGTAAGAACAATAACTTGAGATAAGCTACATAAGATTTAGTCAACTGAGCAGGTGAGTCAACCTTAACTTTTGCGGAAGCTTTCTGAAAAAAAAATACAACAAAACCTGCAGATTGACCAAGCTGGTAATTGATAATGTCATATTTATCTGGAAGTATAGACTCAGGACTAAGCTAAGTGCTAGCGAAGCACCAAAACTATAATTGAGTAGGCTTATTGAAAAGCAATTAGTCTTTGGCCTCAAGGTTGTACTGTAAAAATGTACAAGCCAAGAACTTTCTATTGAAAAAGGAATAACAATAAAGTCATATCTTTGTTAAAAATTAAAATTTTTAGAAATATTATTTATTATAATTGTTTTAGGAATTTCTTTTAAGGTTATTTTGAAACACCGTTTATTCTTTTTCTCAAGGATAAACGCCATACAATCAACCAGCTTTTAAGGGATATTTTGTTTTTCACATTTCTAAATCATTTTAATCGATTTTTTCCTATCTTTTTCTCAATAAAGATTATTTATTTTTTATATATACAATTATTTCTTATTTTATGTTGTTTTGTATGACCATAAATGTAAAAGAAAGTTAATCTAAAAAATGCAATTAGGTTTGATCCATGTAGCCTAATGTAAAGCAAAAGATTGATAGATGAAATAACAAAAAAAGAATTGATACAGTTCTAGAAATAAAATACCAACAGTTAGGTATACTCGCATATAACTTTAACTGTAAGAATACGATAACGTTTATGAATGAACAGTGTCCAACACTTGGGCATTTTCTATGTCAAACATGTTTACTTTATGTTATTGTTCTGTTAGCTTGCTTAAGCTTAAAACTAATTGCTTTCACAACTATTTGTTCAAGTGATTATTAAGCATGCCGACAAAAAGGAAAATTTCTTATGTACTATTTACAATACTATGTTAATCCAATAAAAACGTGATATGTAGAAGCACATAATGTTGCTTTCGCCACCTTCCCAAGTTTCTAAAAAACTTACATATTTTTTGTTTTAATTTAGAAATGCCAACAAACTATAATTTTCAAAAGGGCTGATTCCAACCCCCCCCCCCCCCCCCCCCAAGTAACATGAACGCATACCATAAGATTAAATCCATAATATTATATAATAAATTTTGATATTATTTGAAGTATTCAGACCAGTTAAATTTTTTTATAAGAAAGCTACTTACTCCATGTTTTCTTCCATGTTTATCTTGATTTGGAAATTGGTTAGCTACCAGCTCCAACTTTTTTCGTTCCTTCTCCCTGCTCCTTTACTGTAATGCAATAATTTGCCGCCTAGTTCTTCTCTATAAATACCATTCCCAATCACAGCACTCATGCAACAGAGTTTGAAAACTTCTCTTCAACCACTCTTCTGTATTTCCTGTTCTTCGAAGCGATATTGAAAAATCAACAATGGCCAAGTCTATGAGCATTCTCATGCTTCTTTTTTTGCTAGCCTTTGCTCCTTTGTGCCTATGTAGCAAGATGCTGGGGGGTTACCTCTACCCTCAATTTTATGACTATTCATGCCCACAAGCTCAGGAAATTGTTAAGTCCATCCTTACAAAGGTTGTTGCTGAAGAACCCCGAATGGCTGCTTCACTTCTAAGACTTCATTTTCATGACTGTTTTGTAAAGGTACGTCCTACAAACAACTTTGTCATTCAGTGCATAAGAGCAGCAAATTATTAGTATTTCATAGCTATGTGACATTAGTCTTATTGGTTAATAGTGTTAATGTATTATATGGAGTTGTTTTTTCAAATGCTTAATTCTAAGTCGATGTTTTGCAGGGTTGTGATGCTTCATTGTTGTTAGATAGCAGCGGAAGCATTATTAGTGAGAAGGGGTCAAATCCTAACCGTAATTCAGCTAGAGGATTTGAAGTCATTGATGAAATTAAGGCCGCACTAGAACAAGAATGCCCTTATACAGTGTCTTGTGCTGATATCTTGGCTCTAGCTGCAAGAGATTCAACTGTTCTTGTAAGCATTTCCTTGTCTCTTAACCTTTCACTCTCGAGACTCGCATTGTCATTTTTCTCAACCCTGATTCACAATCACTTTTATGTTATAGACTGGTGGACCAAACTGGGAAGTACCTTTAGGCAGAAGGGACTCTCTTGGAGCAAGCATAAGTGGCTCCAACAACAACATTCCAGCCCCAAACAACACATTCCAAACCATCCTAACAAAATTCAAGCTGCAGGGGCTTGACCTTATTGATCTAGTTGCTCTATCTGGTACACTCCTTAAACTTGTCTATTTCTAGTTTTTGTGTTCATAAAACATGATTGATTTATGGGTAAATTTTAATTGGCATAATCATCCAATTTTATGTTGATCTTATACTCATTTTTCATGCACCACCCTGAGTCAAAGTTATCGAAACTTTTCTCCAAATTTTAGTATCGCTTGCATTTTACTCAAATAGCAGCATTATAAGTATTTTTGTGCAATTGCTATAGGGAGCCATACAATAGGAGACTCCAGGTGCACCAGCTTTAGGCAAAGACTCTACAACCAAAGTGGCAATGGTGAACCAGATTTCACTCTTGACCAAAACTATGCTGCTGAGTTGCGTCCTAGGTGTCCAAAATCTGGGGGTGATCAGAATCTATTTTTCCTAGACTATGTCACCCCAACAACATTTGACAACAGCTACTTCAAGAACCTTTTGGCTTACAAGGGTCTGTTAAACTCTGATGAAGTTCTCTTCACAAAGAACCAAGAATCAGCAGAGTTAGTGAAGTTGTATGCTGAAAGAAATGATCTTTTCTTTGAACAATTTGCCAAGTCCATGATCAAGATGGGAAACATATCCCCTTTGACAGGTTCAAGGGGAGAGATCAGAAAGACCTGCAGAAAGATTAACACTTGATGAGGCAATATCATTGCCATTTACTGTCATGTGACCACATTTTATTTATGTGTTTCTTTTGTTTGTGCCCAAAATAATAAAAGCTGTTCTTTTTCATGATGAGTTGACCGTGAAGTCATTGCTAGTGTGGGAGGGTGTCGTTTAGGCATTAGGTAACATTCTTGTGTTTGTTTCATGAAATTTATGTATTACAATATATCTATGATGAAGTGATTATTTGTCGTCACTCCACCGTTTGAGAAGCAAAATCAAACTGCCGCATTATAACTTTTTTTTCATTAAAAAATAGGTTAAATTAACTTTTACGTTATTACAATTTCATTTAACTTTTAATTAAGTTGTTGCATTTTAAAATTTTAATTATTTATAATATGAAAACTTAACATCATTAATTTTTTGTTCAATATTATAGATTATATATTTTTAATTTATCGGTAGGTTTTACAATATCACCCAAGTTTTCAGTTAAGTCTTTATAATTTCAAAACTTGTAATACAATTTTCAATAAATTTTTTTTATTGTTTTTCAGTAAAAATTAGAGTTTCACTTCAACAACTTTCGTTAACATGAAATATGAAACTTTTATCCAAATAGAACTAAAATTTTGATTAAAAATTAATACTATAGAAACCTAAATTTCTTCATCTAAATTTTGTCTTAAAGTTTTTATATTTTCAAAATATCGTAACCTTCAGAAACTAATACCGTTAAACACTAAAATATTGTTGACCCGCCATTTCTTGTGTGACAATTTTTTAAAAAAATTTCTCAGAACTTTATTGTTTCGAAAAACATTTTCCTCAAAGTCGTGCGATACATTAACTATAAATATAATGTTACATGTTTTGCTTCTGATAGAGTCTATCTATATTTAGTACTAATATACGGATTCTCTCAAAGTGGTGAAACTTCTGGTTTTTATTTTTTGCTTGATTGGATTATAATATCCTTCCTTCTTTTGCAAAAAGTAAAAGAAAGAAAATTTTTACAAAAGCTATCATATATTATGGACTGTTTATTTTAATCGAATGGTTAAGAATGAATTATATGATATCAGTTATTCAAGTTAGATTTATGAAAGGATAAATTGGTAATTTCATGTTTCTATTTCTTTTTTGTATTTTCTTTCTTTTCTTCTCATTGATGTTTGTCATCTTGTTTTCTTCGTCTTCAGTATTATATTGTTGTTTTCATTTATTTTTAGGGTTTTTTTCGTCATTCAATATAAGGTCATAAAAGATTAGTAGTAAATTGTAGAACTTTTTATCCTAAATTGAAATGCGAAAAGACCAATTTATACAACTTTGTCCAGTAAAATGAAGTAAGGTTAAAGAGAATAACAACATAGAGTTGTGAAGATTCAACTTAGAAAATTTGGATATATATGGGTCATATATATGTACATTGGGTCTATTAAAAATCAGATGTTGAAAGTGACATATTGGAAAAATAAGTTTGAACATCAGTTACCTACAAAGCCAATGCAAAAAGTGGCGAGCTATATTTAAAAAAGCATCAGTTCTACATGTGGTGGATGTTTGACCTGATTTTGATAGTTAACGTATGTCATTATCCACTTATAACCATTATATTACAATATAAAATAAAGGCATGACTACAATTAAAGAAAATTCAGAAGGAGTTAAATATATGCAATCAACACTGTTATGCTAATTTTGCAACTAAAGTTCAATCATCTCTTGAAATTGAAAGTAATTGGCAGTTATTAAACAAAATCATCTTCATATTTCATGGTGAAATGATATTAATAGTCAGACGTATATTTGTCCATCATACACAAACATATGTCCCTCTAATGAATGGTATCTGTGATATGCAATAAAAAATACATACATAGGAGTAAAAAAAAATTCATATTTCTACAACCGAAATTCATCATACCACATCCAATGTCAAGTCTAATTAAAATAACAACATCTGCATCAAGGCATTAGGTGACAAATTAAACACGCTCTTTATCATTCTTAAAGTAAATATATCAATTATATAAATAACAACATATTCAACATATTACACAAAATGACAAATAATTTTTCATATTACTCAACCAAAAATTCAATTATGAAAATATCAAACAAAGACCACCACAACAACTGCATATCAGAATAGCAGTGTGAAGAGTTTACAAAGTTAAAAACATAGAATTCAAATATTTACTATGAATAAAGTCAGAGTAGAGATATCTTGATGGGTTAATGGTTATGGACATCGGGTAGATTCAAAATCCATTGTAGAAATTGTTTTAGAAGAAAAATGTTTCAACATTGGTGAGTTGCAACGGTGATGCAGAAAGTTGTGAGCTATTTCATATTTTTTTCATTTCTACATCTTGTTGAGGTCCTGACCCATGTAAAAAATTATGTAATATATGGAATCGTAATTTTAAAAGCAGGTGTCCACTATTATGGCATTTCAGATCATATTAATGTCACTTTTACGATATTACTCCTCATTGTCTACCTCAATCATGACTTCTCTTCACATGTGAAAACCTTTAATCTTAACCATCCATTTTTAAACTATTCTAATCAATGGCTCAGGTTTAAATATGATTTACTTATGACAAAGTAATCATTTTCAAATCAAGACACTTTCTGCAAAAGAAGAGAGGATATTAGATTTATCCTTTTACTTGAACGAAGTAAATTCTTATACTTAACATTAAGTTTTAGTTAATCTAAATAAAGCGAAGTTTAATTTGCTTAAATGCTCTAACATTTTTTTTTTATCAATTCTCTTGTATTTAAGAATAGAAATTAGTTAGATCATAAATCTACGGTTAAAATTTTTAAAATCTAGTTTAATTTAACTTATTTAAATTTTTTAAAAAGTTTAATTAATTGAATATGTTAGGATTGAATTATAAGAAAAAGTTTATTAAGTTTAGTAGAGTGTCTTATTTAAGATTCATAAAATTTATAATAATATATTAAATATTTTTATATAAAATTTATAATATAATATTATATTGAATAAATTAAATGTTAAAATGAATAAAATTTTAAATTAAAAATTTAATTATTTTCCTAAGAATTGGAGAGTGTCCCTGTTACATACTTTCTGAAAGAGTACTATTTACTAGAATCTTTTGCATTATTGTTGTTTAATGCATCTTTTTCATTAATATGTTTATATTTTACTTTAAAACAATGTTTTTATATATGTATTTTAGATTTTTGTTTGTTACATTTGCTAATTTTAGGTTTAAAATTTATTCAGTTGCATTGTATTTATTGATTTATGGTGTAAAATTTTATACTACTAGATTTTCTTAATAATTTATGAATTAATGTTCATTGTGTGTGTTGTATATTTTTAGTAATCTATTTATTTAAATCAAATATATGGTTTAAAGCATACTTTGCAATTCTCGAGATACGCTTCAAGATAGCTTTTCTTGAATTGAAGAGAGAGAAGGGTCATTTCCTCCTTTTCACTAGGTTTCCTTAACCCTATTTCCTTTTCTCGTAGGGTCACTTCATCTGTAGAGGTACTCTTAGAGACGCGCAATGGAGTTCACTAGGGCTATTGCCCTCAGTCCCCTTGGCTTCAACAAAAAGTCTTCATGGCGAGGGTGGAAGCAGAGAAAAGATCTACAGAAGATCTAATAATCAAACTAGTTTTATCCCTAAAAGGCAGGGTATTGATAATGTTATGGTATTGCAAGAATTAGTTCATTCTTTTTCTAAACCTAAAGGAAGGAATAGTTATATGATCATTAAATTGGACTTAGAGAAAACTTATAACAAGCTTAAGTGGTCCTTTATTAGAGAGACTTTTCAAAAAATTGACATTAATAATTATCTAGCTGATATAATTAATCAATGCATATCTACCCCTTTCATGTTCTTAAACTAGAATAGTAGTAGAATTGTTTCTTTCAATCCTTCAAGGGGTATTAGACAAAGAGACTAACTGTCTCCTTATATTTTTGTTCTTTGAATAGATAGGCTAGCCCATCTTCTAAATGATAAAGTTCCTAGTAAAGTCTGGATTCCTTTTCCTTTTAGTAACCACGGCCCTAATATATCCCACCTAATATTTGCTGATGACTTGATTTTAGTTGCCCAAGCCACTAGTCAACAAGCCACTATTATTAAAGATGTCCTAAATGAGTTTTGTTGTTCATCTAGTCTCCAAATTAATGTTAATAAATTCTCTTTGTTTTTCTCAGCAAATACAAATCAGGTTAGTTATTAATCTATTAGCACTAGTTTAAGAATCCCCATCACCAATTGTCACGACCCTTTTTTGTAAGGAACCGAAAACATTGTTTGTTCATCACATACTTATTTAAAATAAATAAATAATAGAGAATATAAGTATGAAATTCTCTTCTCAATTAAAATAAAACAAAGTTTTTTACAACAAATATCCAACAGAACAACATAATATTACATTTAGTTCATAATATTCAAAATACCCAAAATTATACTATATAGCTCCCTCTACATTAGGTCTCAAAATATAAGGGAAAAAGGATTTTGATGCAATATTACTCAACCCCAGCTTCTAACATTTTTTCACTGGCCTCTCAGCCTATGAAGTAGATGCAACACCTGCTACATCTGCTCACGTACCACCGTACGATCATCGTAGTACACACGCACACAACACATAGAAAGAAATGCAAGGGTGAGCTTACAAAAATAAAATAAAATCATATATGTAGAGCAAAATATTTCTCACAGCAATAACCCCATGCATTTCCAGCCCATCTAATGCACAGCATGAAAATGGTTTCCAACTGGTTTCACAGCCTAAGTAATCCAGAAGGAACCGTGCCGGTTCGGGAGCGACCCATTTCGGTATCTGGATCCAGACAGCACAGCACAGCAGCTCAGCATGAACTTACTGTTACACGTCTACCCACCTAAACATGTAACTCGGCTCTATAATGATGCAAAACATATTTTTCATGATGCACACCGCCAAAATTATTGTAACAGCTCAGCTAAGGCAAGTTTATAATAGATCAGCCAAAATCTCAGCATTTTAAATCAATTAACAGCAGTTACAGCTTAGAAAATAGCTTTTATTCAAAAGATCTAACAAAATTCATATCAAAACTTCTTGTAATA